CGGCGGATATTGACGAAAAGTTGTAGTATCTTGGGCGGCATGTGTTAGTGCTGCTGCTGCAGATCAGCGTTACACTTCTGAGTAAAATTCACCCGGCAACACATGTGTTCCAGCTGCATCCCTCACATGTTTGCGATTACCGCCGCCTCATCTCCATTCGTTTATTTCTACTTATTTTGCCATCACTGGGCACTTTAACCTTGTCATCCGTCTTGAATCCCTGGTTCGCAAATTGTATTAAGCTACAGCTGTGTTTCACTCCATGGCGAGCTTTTACACGAACCTGCATGAAAATCAAATTATAAAGCTCTCTCTTTTAGCGTGCCTGCTCTTTTCAGTCGCTGAACCGTATCGGGCCATAGATGAAGATATGTGCGGCTATATAGTTAAACAGTCCAGTAGTTCACTAGTCTCGGATGAGCCTTCGCCGTCTGACAAAAGGAGACATACCAAATGCGGCGCTTCTGAAAATCTATTTGCTATTCATTTGTGAATGAGAGCATGTCTTTTCTAAGATATTCCTGTGGTGCAGTTTTTAGATTCTCCTCTCAAAGCACTTACAAATTCAACACATTTGGCAGCTTTTCAAAGCGGAAATTAACGCGCTGAGAATTCAAGAAAGAGACACAAGTGGGCACGAAAAACGACGGAAAATCTACAACAGTTTTTGATCCATCGAGAAGAAATTATAACCAGCCAGATGCTGTTTCATCGTCGTGTTCCGCCTCATCATTGATGCAGCTGGCAACTTCTTCATTCTGTTCTCTTCCAACATATTACTCCACGTGGACATTCTTGCTAGCCCTCTCGATACTCGAAGACCACTAAGTGTGCTCGGACAGTTGGTGTGATGATCCCGAGTTAGTGATGCTGTTGGTCTGCTTACCCGCACTAGGCGCTGCTTCTTTGTTCTGTTCGGTTTGGTATTTTGCATGAGTCCAACTAATCCTACTATCTATTCGATGTGTGGTCGTCTGATTTCCACGAGAATCATCCAATTAAGCTACTGTAACGTAGTTTGTCTACGTGTATTTTACAATTACATTAATCCGACAGCTGGACCCGACCGAACGAACGAAAATGCGTTGTTCCTCCTCAGAACCCAGAAATGGTTTTCCCCTCCAGTGTTTTGTGTATGCAGAGTTCTTAGTCGTTCTCGAAGTAAGGAATCATCGAAAGACTTGGCCAGGACTCTTGTTAATGGCAAGTGCCTCCGTCTGTCCCAGAGAGTGAGATACGGTGTTGGCTGTGACTCGGTGGTTTTGCGTGGGAGTGTTACTGCCCCGTACAGGGCGAACACACTGTAGCCAGATGTACCGGTAGCTGATTGGGACTTTTGCAGTGCTGAGTGCGTAGAGAAAAAACAAAAAATCCTGAGAGACGTTTAAAATTGATAGCAAAGTGCTACGCCGCTTGCTTGAGTTCGTCTGCAATTTGAAATGATGAGAAGCAAGGAAATTAATATCCTTACGAGGTGACGTGCGC